TCCTGCTGTTACGTAACACTTTTGGTTAAATGTACTGACTGGAGTTACTTACATTAATCCCCTCTCCTGCATAGAGGAACAGAACTTAGGAAGTGCCAGCATTCCTGGTTGCGGTGCAAACGAGGGCTTCTGTGAGGGGAGAGAAGCTGAGGATCTGAGGATAAGAGCCAGGGACCCCTGGGCCCATAACACTAGCTCTTCTGTCAAACCCCTAGCAGAGTGTGACTGACGAGGTCCTCGCCACGTGCCACCTGGGGTGTAACCAGGAATAGGCAAGTGCAGGTAGTTGCTGTGCTTTAAGTCACTGGAACTGAAGGGTGGGACCTATTTCAGTCAGTGCTTCTGTGACCACAGAGGATGTGGTTGGAGTTGACACCACCACGAGCAGTGTGGTTTATGGCATCCCTTCTACAGTGGCTCCAATGGTTAGGGTTCCTTGGGAGCCCTTCAGCTGCTCACTCCAGGGAGGCCGAGTTGCTGGCATTCCCAAGAGGCACTGAGATCTTCCTTTGCCTTTGGCTTTCCCAGGTCCCTGGTTAAACTTCCTTTCAAGAGAACCAAGAGATCAAGTCTGACTCATGCCCTAGGTGGCAGAGGAGATTGCTTTGGCATGTTTGAGGGGAGGAGTTTTTGCAGGAACAATCTGGTTGGTTCTGTCCAAGGCTTATCAGAACTTTTGTTCCTGGTGCCACGCTCTGGTCTGGCTGGGCCTGCCTAGGGCCGCCCCCCCCCCGCCCCCCAACAAATGTCCAATGCAAGTGGCCCACAGATTAAGACCGTCAACTTTGAGAAAGTGGAGGAGCCCACAAGGCTGGGGCTTAGTCTGCCAGCGTCACAGCCACAATGCCCAGCACTAAATCTGGGAGGCGGCCCAGAAAACTGCCACCCCTCTGTTGACATTTGGTCTCAACGCCTTGGAAAAGGTGCTAAAGAAAGTCACTAAAAGGAAACCCAGGCCCAGTATTAAACCAGTCTGTAATTTCTGTCCCTGGGTTATGCTT